CTGTAGTCTTCCTTCTATTAAAACTCATACAAATCTAGGGCCCCCCCTAATGTTTTAAATCAACTTTCAATTGTAGGCCCAAAACCATAAATTTCCGGGGGGCGGCAGATTTAATATTAGGGGAGGCTTTAATAATAGGGGGAAGCGATTAGGGTTACCATAAGTGCTATACTATAAGGATTCCACGACAAGGGTTCCATAAAAAGTTCAGGGTCTAGGAGGCCTCAACAAATAGAAAGGGTTTAGGGTCTAGGGTTATAGTGTTCCTTTAACGGTTCCATGAAAGTGTTCTAGAGGAGGGTTACACATAAGGGCACTGGCTTGTCAGGGCCCTCAGAATAAAGCCGTAAGGTATGCCACAAGTATATTTAGGGGGCCGCTAGGGGGAATCAGGCCTCGATGGTACTCGGGTTTAAGATTCACTGCGTTTATTATTTGAAGAGTATATGCTCAGTAGCTATGGGGACCCTGAAGGATGTTGACGGAATAGAATTTGGGCTGAATACGACCCTGTCATGAAACCAAACCTCACCCAAGCAAGACCCCACCAGAGCACAGATAAAGAGCCCCAGCCCAGACAAACCCGAAAGCTCATCCCCGAACCACCAAACTTGAACTCTATGCTAAACTCCAACATAAACGACCCGAAATGTCCCCCAAACGTCCGTAATTCGCAACCCTAAGTTCCAACACTCCAACAGCTGAAGTGCTAAACCTTACACAACCCTTAACCCAACAGCGAACGCCCCCCTCAACCCCATGCAAACCCTTTTCAGCAACCGCCTCCAGCTGAGTACGTCTTTGAGGGATCACAACGGAAAGACTCGTGACTTCTCTTCCCGGGCTGTTTCAACAGGTGCCCAAATCCATTTCAAGCTGGTTCCCTCTATAGTATGTGGTACAGCGATGACTTCAGGGCTTGGGGAAGTTGTTGCAGGCCTCGGTACGATCACAAGCACGACGCATAAGACCCTAAAACGATCAAACATTTATTTGAAAGAGCTCCCCTTTGAAGCCAGTGACGGTTTGAGTGCTCTGAAATTGGACTAGTACTAGCACTAGACTTAGTATTCGCCGTTGTTGCGAGTGTTGATACCATTGTCACATGGGCAGTTCTCTAAATCAGGGTCCCGTTTTTAGGTCCCCCTAGTAATACGGGACCCAAAAAGGGACCCTAAATTGCAGAACTACCCATATAGCAACCTTATAGTACCCTTGTAGAAGCTTATGGGGACCCCAAAAAGGGACTGTAACTTAGAGAACTACCCATGTATAACCCGTATAGCACCCTTGTAGAAATTACAGAAACCCTTATAGATCCCTTTAAGGAATCCGAAGAAGGAGCCTAATTCAGAGAGCTGTTTGCAGTCTCTAGGACCCTTATAGAAGCTTATAAGGACCCCCAAAAAGGACCCTAAACCCTAAACAACCCTAAACCCTAAACCCTAAACCGTTCAAACGTGGGTAGGTCTCTACCTTAAGAACCCAAAACCTACTTTTTTGTAGGGTCCCTATAAATCCCATATCAGGGTTTATAGTAAGAACCCTACAAAAAAAATGGATTTTGGGTTCTTAAACCCTAAACCCTAAACCCTAAACCCTAAACCCTAAACCCTAAACCCTAGGTAGGACTCCAGGCCTCCTCAGAACTGCGGCGGCCCGCAGCGGTGCCACGGCTGCGTGGCAGAGGCTGTGGCCGAAGTGGAAGCCCTCGCAGGAAGTAGGTTTTAGGGTTTAGGGTTTAGGGTTTAGGGGTTTAGGATAGGGTTTAGGGTTTAGGGTTTAGGGTTTAGGGTTTAGGGTTCCCCAAGAAGCCAGGGAGATAAAAGGCTAGATTTTCAGATAATTAAATTATCCGGACCCAAAAGGTTTAAAGGTTGGGTACTGGGGACTATAAGTCGTTTTGACAACAACAGGTCGTCGTTATGTGTTTTTGGGGCTTAGGCATCAATTGTTCGAACATGGTCTACAGCCGGGCTTTATGCAGAGTTCTGACAATGCCCCTGCAACGTCTTTCAACACACTGTGTTAAAGGAAAATGCAGGTGGGGAGTTTAGGGTATATAGGGCTTCTATAAGGCTTCCATAAGGTATATAGACCTTCTATGATTATAAGGCTCCTATAACGGTAACTACTCACCTGAACATGTCCTACTGAGACCCTCCCAAGCCCAAAGATCCTAAAGGCCTTTTCCTAAGCCAGGGAGAAGTACACGAATCACCCACCCCTAATTTCCAATCCCTAAATCCCTCAACCCCACAACCCCCAAACCCTGAAAACACCAAACTAACTCCCACCCAAAACTAGCATGCAACCCTAAATTCGCAAAACACTAAACTAACTCCGAAAATACCGTAAACCCCAAACCCTAAACCCTATCACTGCCTATAACCCTATAAACCCTAAACCTCAAACCCTAACACCATCCCCGGGTCCTCGGGTGGGGCGAAGCAAGAGCAATGAGCGCCGCCAACCACCAGGGTGCCGCGGTCCGTGAGTGGTGCGAAGCGTCCTTCAAGCATGCTTTCGGGTCTTCAGCGTTTAGGGTATGGGGTTTAGGGTTTAGGTTCAGTGCTTAGGGAGAACCATGAAGGGTTGAAACAAGGGCTCTTTCAAGAGGTTTGGGGTTTGGGTTTAGTTGTTTAGTCGCTTCGAACTTCAAGGTTTGGGGGCCCCAGGGTTCAGAAGGGCGTGAGCGAGTGTCGACCGACGCAGTACGATTTGGAATGCATTTCTCCCCACAAAGTAATACTCAAACACCTCAAACCCAAGCACTGCCTCCCTAAACCCTAAACCCTAAACCCTAAACCGATATAGCGTAAGCTCCAAGCTCGGAATGTCACAACCTACAGTTTCGCGGGGTCTGGGGCTACAGGTAAGAGTTGGCCTGCTACACCAGGGCTCTACTACAGCCAAGGGACAAAAGGAGCGACCAAGAAAATTACCCTTGGGGTTATGTAGGGGCTTTATGAGACTGTATAAAGGGTATATAAGGGTTAGAAAGGGTATTAGGATTAGGGGTCCCTTCTAGGGGTCCCTCCTATTGTTCCTTAACACAGAAGTAGAACCCCGGTTTCGGCCCTATACCCTAAACCCTAAACCCTAAACCCCGAAAGCCTAAACCCTAAACCCTAAACCCTGAACCCAGATTATGAGTCGCGATCCTCTTGAGAAAACCATGGAATGGCATCGCGAGTTGTGAGGAGCAACTTCGGTATTGCACCCCCCCTCTGCAGCAGTCTATTTATTAGGGGTCCTCTTAAGGGCGGTTATAAACATTATAAGATAACTGCTACAGGGTGGCAGTGTACATTAGGCTTCCTCTTCAGGGTCATATGTATATTTAGATTACAAACCTTATCTAATAACTGCGACCGGGTGGGGGCGATACCCAAGGAGCAACCATGTGGAGTTCCACAAGCCAGGTGGGGCCTTAGAGTTTGGACTTTGAGACTTTGTGTGTAGGGTTTGGCTAATCCCTACAAACCCTACACCCTAAACCCTCCCTACAAACCCTACACCCTAAACCCTCAACCGTATTTGGGACATTTGGACTGGCCCTGTGACTGCCGGGATTTCGGTTCGGAAGGCTCACCGACCGAGGTCCAAAATGGCGAAGACTGTAACCCCGAGGCTCTAATTCTGAAGCAAACCCCAGGCTAAGCTTGGAAATCAACAAAGCACAGAATGAAACATAGACTTCCCTGCTTTTTGCTAGACTACTACTACAACTTACCCCAAACCCCCAGTCCAACTATTCAGACCTTTCTTTACTGCCTCGAATTGCACGTTTGTTTGTTCAACAGCTGCCTTTGGCGCAGCACTTCCGTACTCGGAGAACGGCCGAGGGATGTCCTCGGAGAGGGGTGTAGATTTCCCACTCAGTAACAGTTGGATAATATTTATATTATGGATATATTAGGCCCTTAATAGTCGCCCTATTATAGACTGTTACTGTATGGGGGCAGTACCCAAGGTGTAGATTTCATATTTCAAAAACGGGCCATGAATTCAGGAATGTACTTCAAGTCATGCGGGCAAGGTACATTGAGCAAGGGGTATTGGGCTCTGTGGGTCATGGGTTCGGGGATCTAAGCTTTAACTTTTGAGTTGAAATAAACCCTAACCCCAAACCCTAAAGCCTAAACCCTAAACCCTAACCCTAACTCTTGTCTCCTGCCGCGTTTTGGAGCAGGTCGCCACGCCTGCAGAAGCCACCGGGAAGGGAAAAACTGGACCGGGCAAAAGCTTACCCAAATGATGTAGATGCCTGAGTGATTAGAGTGGGGTTTGGAAACAAATGTTTCATGTTCATGGGATTGGAAAACCCCATTGTTCTATGGGTTTAGAGTTTAGGGTTTAGGGTTTAAGGTTCGGGGTTTAGGGTTATTTATGACTATGTATGTGCATGTGTGTGTGTGTGTGCATGCATGAATGTCCACGAAATTGAGCCTCATATGTTGAATCATGTGTAGGATCTCTATATACAGACAAGGAATATGAATGGCCAATTGCAGGGTCTTGGGCTGTCTGGGCCGAAACGCTAAACCCTAAACCCTCAACTGTAAACGTTTTACTTTGTATTAGTATGTGGGTGATAAGCTTGAGTTCAAGCAAGATGTCATATTGAGACTAGAGAGGATTGAGAAATTGTCATCGAATAAGTATGAGTGAATTACATGGTAATATTGTTGTTAAATTTGAAACCTGTAGATTCTCAAAACCGCAATACATGCAATGTAAATTATGTAAAACTGAAATGTGTAGATGATTTTGTAAGTAAACGTCCCAACAAAGTATACACTCAAGCTTGTAGGGCTTGTTTATATAATAATGAAAAATAAAGGTTTAAAGCTAAGAAATGAGAACAGGATGTTTTCCTTTGACATTGTTCTTCAGAAAAAGCACTTAAAGAAATAACAACCCAATATATTATAGTGGAAATGAGTGACAATGAATATGAAAGTGCGAATGAATATGACAGTGAGAGTGGGTATGAAAGTTCATCTGATGATGAAGCTGAAAATTTCAATATGAATTAAAGAAATCCAGTTACTTCATGTAGACAAGTTCGGAACAGACAGCAAATCTTACTAGGTAAATGTGATGCCTTACATGATTTAACATACATGATTACAGATTACTATGGCTGTGATAAATGTTGCAAATTAAGGAATTTGATGATTAGTTTTTTTTTTAATTTTTTTTACTGAATTACACAAATACCCAGAGTATGATGAAGTTCATCCAATAGAACAAAAAATAAGGATAAGGATGAATAAACACTTGAATTACACAGCGAAATGAAAACAATGTATGAACACCTAGATAAGTTTGATTTCTATAAAGGCATCAGGAGAAAAATAACTACTTCAATGATACCTTATGTGGTTAGTTATATTATAAGTCAAGGGTATATACTCTTTTTCTTCAAACAATATATATATATATATATATATACTAGCATATTATATAAGAATAATGGCCTTCTGAAAAATTTAAAAGAAACGTCAAGGTTCTTAAAAGAGGTAATTTTATGACATTCGAACTGTGTTTAACATAGCCTACCAATGAACATTTAGTAATACAATTAACTTATTATTGAATGAACAACCCCAACACCACATACAATTCCCCATAAAATGAATAAACCTAACCTTGCCCGTTTCGGGAAGTTACATCACCTGAGAAATAGGATGGAGTATTTGAAGGATAATGGGCTACTAGTTGTGATTTATATGGTATATGTGGTTCACGGTGATCTAACTATCCAAACTGGGCGAGGCTTTCCCTAACTTAATAAAGGAACCCTTAGACGACCCCGAAAAGAGCCGACCCTAAACCCTACACCCCTAAACCCTACAAACCCTAAACCCTAAACCTTCTGTGCTCAGAGCTGTGCTCGGGACGCTCCAGGACCAGCCTCAAGGTCTGCGCCCTCACCTCGGCTGCGCCGCGCGGGACGTGCATACCTGTGCCTTGAAAGGTAGGTCTAAAGCCTAAACCCTAAAACCTCATCCCTCGTAGGAAGGGTATTATGATACGTGTTGAATAGGGTTCGTGGCTGTAAAAATCCTAAGTTTCGAACCCTGCCCAACATGCGGCCGACGAGCAAAGCGTTGCCCAGTCTCGCCGTCTCGCAAGCCTCGCATCCGCTGCCGTTGCTGACGCGGGGGTGGGGGTTTAGGGTTTAGGGTTTAGGGTTTAGGGTGAGGTGAAGAGTGACCCTACCCGTCGTCTCCGTTGTAGTTCCTTTTTGGTTTGGGCAATTGTATGTATATTTGGGATCCTGAAAGGGGACCCCCAAAAGGAACTACAATGGAGACTATAGGTAGACTTTAGGATTTAAGGTTTAGGGCTTACGATGTAGAGTTTATAGGGTTTCAGATTTAAGTATGACCATAGACTTTGAGATTCAATCTTTAGGGCTGGCCCTCGGGACCCTACAAAAACCTGCCTTTTTAAGGACAAGGGCTAATTTAAGAGGTTACGGTTTAGGGTTTGGGGTCTAGGGTTTAGGGTTTAGGGTTTAGGGATTCAGTGTTGCGCGCACGGTGGCCACAGTCGCACGAATGGCACAGTGACGGTTTAGGGTTTAGGGTTTAGGGTTTAGGGCCTCTCGCAACATCCACAGACCACGTGGCCTCTTCGCTAGCAAACCCTTCTGAACAAGAACAAATCCCTACTACATCGTGGTCCTTGGTTAGCTTTTGGGTACCCTAAACCCTACACCCCTAAACGCCAAAACACCGAAACCCCTAAACCCCTGAACCCTAAACCCTAGACCGCTAAACCGCTAAACCCCAAACCCCAAACCC